ACCATGTCACCTGCTGGCCCCCAGGAGTTCTGATTTTAATCTAAGTGCCACAAGAAACCAGCACTGGATGCAGAGAAGGGGATTGGAGCTGAGTAGGGCAGGGCAAGTCAGTAAGAGGCTGTGTGCTGGGCGAGAGATCTCTGGCCACCTGTACCAAGCGCTTGCTCAAGAGTGCAAGAAGGAGAGTGACGAACAGGTGTTTGGAGGTGTAACGGAAAGAGCTTGGAGATAGGCTGGATGTGTGAACAGAATGAGGAAGCATCAGAGAGGAGGGTGTCCAGCTTAGGTGGGGATGGCGGCGGCGGCAGGTGCGGGGACTGGAGGCAGCTTTCTGGGAAGGGTGCGTTCCTGGACAGAAGTTCCAGACTGACGTTGGTGTCAGGGAGCATTTGACTGTATCGGTCTGGTCCTGCAGAGACAAGGTTTCCATGGGAGAATATACCAGGAACAGATGTGGGGTTTTAATCATGGAAGAGGAAGAGGGCACTGAGACTTGGTGGAGAGGTCAGAGGGCTCAGGAGCAGCCCTGGGGGGGGTTGCGTGGAGACCGGGACTTGTTAGGGGAGTTGGGCACTGGGTCATGGCGGCTGTTCTGCAAGTCCTGAGAGCCGCCCGCAGGAGGAGGGCAGAGGAGCTGGTAGCAAGGTTCAGCCCGAGACGGAAGGCCTTCGGCCCAGGGAAGCCGGTGGTGCAACTCAGTCTGTGGTCAGAGGCCCGAGAGCTCTGGAGCCGACTGGCACGTGTCCCGAAGGCTGGAGCACCCGGGGTCCTGGCGACCGCGAGCAGAAGGGGAGCAGGAGTTCACCCTTCCCTCCCTTGTGGTCCCGTCGGCGCCTCCAGCTGACTGGATGGTGCCTGCTGAGGTGAGGGCCCATCTTCTCCAGTCAGTCCACCGCTTAGCGACGGTCTCCTCTGGAGAGACCCTCTCCTGCAGCTGGCGCAGCCCGGTTCTGTTCAGACGCCACCCCCCACGTGTCCTTGTCAGCCGAAGAGGGACCGGCTCAGTGGTCACCAAAGCATCCGCGGTGCCTTTCCCAGCTACCTAAGCTTCCTCATCTGGTCAAGTCAGTACCCAAATCAACCATCCTGGGGGGTTGAGGGAAACTTGGGAGCTGCACTTTGGTTTTTTTTTTTAAGGATTTTTGTCTCAGGGCACATGCACTCACTAGAGAGAGGCAGAAAGAGACAGACGCAGAAAACGAGAAATCACCCCCACAGGGGCTGGCCACACTGCAGTCCTTCTCCACTCTCCTCCTGGGATTTTGGGCACACACTCACATGTGCCCAGCATGACTGCCAGGTTTCAGACCTGAATTGCGACCTGTCCTGGGGGAATCCAGCACCTTAAACACTACACCACCTGCTGGTCCCGGAAGCTGGACTTCTTTAGACTTAGATGGGTATAATGTTACATTGAACCTATCAGATAGAGGGAGTTGGCTATTTTTGACCTGTAAAAGCACAATTTCATATAGTTTGGTCTAATAGAATATATTACACCTTGACAATAAGTTGCTCTTAGAAGGGGAGTTTGAGGAGCAGCTTGATTATCAGTTTTTCCAAGAGCAGAGGCACTGAGCATCGAGAGACGAGGTTGTGTTGAGCAGTAGGGGTTCTTGCAAGTGGGGGAGAGATGCTCCATTCTAACAGGAAGGAGGGAGAGGAAACACAGGTTCAGCTGGAGTGATCTCAGCGACCCTGGCCCCCGTGGCTGGGGTTCTCCCCGGGCCCGTAATTACATAATATGCGTAGAGATTTAGCTGTGGATACAGACTGGTTGATTTTGTTCATAGGCCTGATCCCTTTCTACACTGTAGTAGAATACATCTGCTCTCTTAAAAGTCTTTGATACCCATGATTTTTGTTCGGTTTTTCTTTCACCAAAAGCAGAGTGCACCACATCATGACCCTCCTCCCCACCCCTTAGCAGTGCAACGCTGGCTTCCCTATAGAACTGATTAGCAAATCAGAGAACGAAGTGGCTTTCTCACAAGTGATTTTCTTGCCCTACAGAAAATCGTCGTCTTCGACATTACCATCAGTGTTCTCTGACTTGTCAGCGTCATGGAAACACTGCGATTTCTGTTTTCTGAACGCCGGCTGCATGTCCATCCTTTTCAGGCCGTACCACTGTTCTCTGTCATGTGTCAGGAACTGGCTTGTGACGTGTGTGTGTTTTAAGAATTCCAGCTGTTTGCAGGGAGACTTTATTCCCCTGCAGAATAAGTTTTGAAAATGATTTCCATTACAGCATTATGCCGACATATCCCCAGGCCACAATTTTCTCCATGCACTTAATTCAGTACAGAATTCCAGGTCCTGATCATTAATTGTATCTTTAAAGCCGCAGTGAGATTGAAGGCTGTCCCCAGCGCCTGTAGGGACTTTTTTCATGACGGGTCTCCTGTAATGTTTATTCTGAGTAATACTTTCATCACGGGGTGTGGGGCCCAGGCTATAGCGGAAATGCACGTGAGAGGAGTCCTGTTTCCTGTCAGTGTGCTCTTGTGGAATTGTAGGCCGCTTGGTTATGCACATGGTTCCAGAATGATCTTTTCCTCAACAGTGCAGAAAGATCTGGAGAAGTGTGGGCACCCCTGGATTAAAACCACAGTCATGTAATACTGTAAGATGAAACGTGTGGCATCCGTTTTTTTCCCTTTTTTTTAGTTTGTTGTAGAGCATGTGCATTCGCCAGTGAAAAACAGAGATAAAGAGAGAAGGAAAGTGAGAAAGCAACCCCCTAGGGGGGATGATGCCAGCCACAATCTGTTCTCCTCCATCCTCCTCTCGGAATTTTGAGCATGCATGCACACGCACCATTCCCGCCTTCTCCCCGGGATGCTTTTCGAGTCTCTGGGTTCAGGACTCGAACTGTTAAGTTGGCCATGGTACAGTTGCCTTACCTCTGTTATACCTACTAGCCCAACATATGTCATCTTTAAAAGCGCCAGTATTTGGGGGAGCAGACCAATAGGTGGCATGGTGGTTAAGGCACTGGACTCCTACATTGTTAGACTGGAGTTCAAATCCTGGACCTGGTGGCTTGTTTTCTCACTTTCTCTTTTTCTGTCTCTCCCCAGGGTGCCCTATAGCAAATTAAAAAACAAGAAATAAAATTGAATAGATTTTTTTTTTTAAAGCTCTGAGATTTTACTTGAAGCAGAGGTTTTATTTTATGGGAGTGTGTCACTTTACTAAGGGCAAGACCGGTCAAATGAGTGTTCTAATTCTGCTTTGGTATAAGAAGAGCTTGATTTACCATTAACCACTGCGGTGGAAATTGCAACATCATTGAAGCAGATATGTACCTTCAGTATTGGAAGTATCCAGCACACTCTCTCAGGAGTGGTTTCACAAAACCACAGTCTGCAGCATTGAGATGATGAGTGAAGAGGTCTTTCCCTTATTTCAGACAGACTTTGAAGCCACAGGGTACTCAGCACTGTACCTGACCCTCAAATACTTGCGTCTCCAGGTGGAGCTTTGGGCCATGCCAGGGCGCTCCCTCGGTCTTCCCCTGGAGATCCGCTCGTAGCCAGTGGCCGTGTGTGCTTACCAAGAAGGGATTGTAGAGAGACGCTGCCCACGGCTTTACTGATCTAGAATCTGCGAGGATGCCCTCGCTTCTGTCTCAGCCCTGAGCTAGGACGGCGCCCAGATCCCGCAGGCTGCCGTCACTGTGCTGTTTGCGCAAACTCACGTCTGTTCTCTCTTGCTGTTTGCTGGGGGAAGCGGGGCTTGTCTTGCAGAATGAGATCCGGACTACACCTGGCGCCCGTCTACTGCTGAGACACAGGCCAGCTTCCACCTTATGGTGACGTTCCTCCCCTGCAGAGGTGACAGTTGCTCTGAAGGATCACAGCTTTTTTTTTTTTTTCCTTTTCGAGAGGTTTTTGCTATAGGACACGTGCACTCACCAGAGAGAGAGAGAGACAGAGACAGAGAGATAGAAAGTGAGAAGTCATCCCCAGCAGGGGGATGGCCATGCTGCAGTCCCTTCTCCTCCATTCTCCTCTCGGGATCTTGGACATGCACGCACACGTGCCCGGCGTGAGTTTAAGCCACCGGGTCTGGGACTCAAACCACAGTCGACTACGTAGGAGTCCAGCGACATAGCCATTCCACCAACTGCTGGTCCTAGGACCACAGCTTTGGTGTGGAGGGGACACTTCCGTCTCAGTTACTGAAGTCTTGCAGTAATAGGAAAAGCAGTCTGAATGACGAACCGTGTGGTGTTTTGGGAGCTGCCGTGCTAATAATAATTAGGAGTTGATGATTTTTTCTGCAGATGCTATTTCTTAGTGAGGACTGGCCACGAGTGCTAGTGGATTGAAATCACATGATCTTTTCATTTACATTTCTTGACTCTTGTGAGTAATTTGAGTCGATATACTTGAATTCCAAGTCTCATACCTGAATATAATATGTACATGGTAACTCTGGAGGCCCAGGTATCTATTAGGACCAGGCTTGGGGGAATAGAAAATATACCCCCATATGTTCTGGTCCTTCTGTTACACCAGTTTAAAAGCAGGGGACAGCAGGTAGCATAGGGGTCAATGCATTGAATCCTACATGGCTGACTTCACGATTCGAGCCCCAGACCTGGCAGCTTGAAAACCCGCCGGGTGCATGTGCGTGTGTGCCCAAAATCCTGAGAGGAGAGTGGAGAAGAGGTTGTGGTGTGGCCATTCCCTTGGGGCATGATTTCTCGCTTTCCCTCTCTCTCTGGTGAGCACATATACCCGATGGGAAAAATGGAACGATAAAGTGACTAAGCCAAGTTTGGCCATGGAGATGTTCTGTAAGTCGGTGTTCAGCCCTGCAGCTGTTCACGCTTGCTGCGATCTCTCTTACAGAAGTGGAAAGGGGCAGGCTAAGTGACTGCCCTCTTGGGCAGCCATGTAATTTAAATAAAAAACATAAAGAAAGAAGTGTGTGTCTCAGCAGAGCTGCGTGCGTGTTTCATACAGCTGTCTCCTTCTTTTTAACTGTAGGGCCAGCTCTCAATGTTGCAAGAAAAAATAGACCATTTGGAGCGTTTGCTAGCCGAGAACAATGAGATCATCTCAAATATCAGAGACTCGGTCATCAATCTGAGCGAGTCAGTGGAGGACGGCGCGAAAAGTTCACAAGGCAATTTCAGCCCAGGTGCTGGCTCCCGCCTTCTGCCGTCACAGCTGTCCCTCCCGGTCCACCCCGAGGACTGTCATTTTGCCACACGCAGTGGCAGTCAGCATTCAGATGTGCAGGTAAGGCGCCCGTGCGTGAAGCATCACGGGCTTTCTGTTCTGTTCTGTTTTTAGGTCTGATCTGGTGTCTGTTCTAACTGGGTAAGTTGCTTCAACTCTCTGGACTCCTATTTCTCTCGTAAAGGAATTTGATGAGTCACAAATTACTCGCATTCTTGTAGTGGTAAAAATGTCTAATTCTCTTACAAGTCTATGCGCATGAGAATATGACTATTCCATATACATTCCAGGCCTTATTTTTTATTATTACTATTTTTTGATAATTTTTTGCTATAGGGCGCATGTGTCCACCGGAAAGACAGACAGAAAGCGAGAAATCACCCCCCAAGGGGGATGGCCACGCCACAATCCCTTCTCTTCCATTCTCTCAGGATCTTTGTCACACACGCACACATGCGCCCGGCGTGAGTTTAAGCCGCCAGGTCTGGGACTCGAACTGCGGTTGACTACATGGGAGTCCAGCAACATAGCCATTACGTCAACTCTTGGCCCCTCCAGGCCTTATTTTTTGTAATAGTTCAAAATCTATGGAGTTTTACATTTTTGGGGAGGTGTTTTCTTACTGTCCTTTGGAACACATAAGTAAAATTCCACTCTTACCAAATATAGGTTACATGTTGTTAGTTTTCATGCAGTGTGCTGTTAGTTTTTATATTATTATTATTTGCACAGTGTCCCCTTGCTTAGAGGGAAGGGTGCACTCTGGAGCTCGATTTCCATGGCGGGAGCTGTTGACTCCGCATGGTCTCTGAGCACGTGAAATGTGGCTAGTTTGCTGAGATGCGGCATCAGTGTAATCTCTACACAGAGTGTAATAGTAAATACACAAATGCCTTGTATTGTTATTTGTGTAATAGTATACAGAGTATGTCAGGCTTCCTAGGCTCAATGTTTTCATTCTTTTTATATTGACTCTTGTTGGAATGGTATCATTTTGGGTAAATGGGTTTAAATAAAATATCTCATTAAAATTAATTTCGGGACAAGCAGATACACAAATGGTTATATCGCTGGACTCCCACGTAGTTGGTGCGGTTCGAGTCCGGGACTCTGACGACTTAAAACTCATGCTGGGAGTGTGTGTGTGCCCAAGATCCCGAGAAGAGAATGGAGGAGAAGGGATTGTGGTGTGGCCATCTCCCTGGGGGGTGATTTCTTGCTTTCTGTGTCTCTCTGTCTCTTGGTGAGCATATGCGCTTTGTAGTAAAAATCTTTACTAAAAAAATTAATTTCATCTGCTTGTTATTATCAGAAAATTAAAAATTAAGTGTTTAGTTTGCTTTATGCTTCTCTTAGTGCCATTCTGAAGGATAACGAAGTTACAAACCAGGGTCAGAAAGGCTTCTTTCTTTCTTAACCTCAAGGTCTGTCACTCATATTGGCTCTGCTGTGTAAATTGGCAGAAGGCTAGGTTTAATCTTGTGCCTTAGACCAGAAACTGGCACTTCGTGTGGGAGCCTGCAAGGTATGTATTTGAAAGATGAACATAATGTGTTGGCTTCTCACCCTGGCTTTTGAATAGGCCTTTTCTCTTGAGACCAGGGAACATGATATGGTCTTGAGGCCCTGGTTCACAGGCCAGGCTGGAAGCGGGGCTCAGGGGAGCTGGCCAGGCCTTGCACCTGTAATCTTAGCAGCTAGCGTGTGACCACGTTCGGAAAGGATCTGAATCTGTGCTTGCAGGGATAGAAGTTCCCGTGAGGCTTGGCTTTATTGGGGTTTCATTGAGTATCTCTTAAGTCCCTGTCCTGTCACCTAAGCTAAGGGAACAGCAAAGCCTGTGTGTGTGTGGTCACACCTGACCTGGGCAGAAGGGAACTGGAGAGCAACCATGGAAGGAAGCAGAGTGAGGCAGGAGGGTACTGAATCAGCTTCAGGTCCAAAGAAAGTGCCAGAAGGACTAGCAGGGACTAACGAATTCTCCTGCTCAGCTGCTTCCCAGAGAGTACGGCTCATCCTTATGAAGGCTGAATTTTATTTACTAACGTCATTAATTCCATAGGAAGATATATTGCCTTAAAGTACTTTGTAATCATTTTTATATAATTTATTTGATACTTAAATTTTTTTGTAACCCACTTATATATTAATTAGGATCTATTTTTTGCAGCCTCATTTTAGCATTTTCTAAATTTTATAGTTTCACTAAAGATTGGTTGTGTTCTTTGTCACATGTGGTTTATAGAGATATGAAGAATAAAAGTAAAGTTTAAAACTTTTTCGACAGTATTTTTTCTTTGTGCTCAAATATATTATTAACATTAGCTAGAAGAACTATTGCATTGGAAAAACAGAAAATATTTGGATACTTAATAGTGGAACATCACTTAAAAAAATCCATTTTTAAATGATTATACCTAGTTGACCCTGTTGTAGTTTTATTTTTAGAATAACAGTGATAAACATGGAGCTGGCCCTGTGGTCTGGTGGTTGGGGGAGTCAGTCCCATATGGCCAAACTCCACTCAAAACCTGGCCCAGTGGCTTGAAAACCACGTCAGGCACTTGTGTATGTGTAGCCCAAACCCCGACAGGATGGAAAAATGGAGAAGGCGTCGTGGTTTGATCACGCCCCACGTCCCACTGGGGGCTTGCTCCCCCATCTGTCTTTCTTGGTCAAGGGCACATGCGCTCTGGTAATTAAAAAAAGGAAAAGATAAACATATATTGAATAAATTGGAAAAAGCTACAGTTGCATTTTCACTCAGGTATAGATTTTTTTAACTTAATTTATTATTTATTTCAATTTGACTAGAGAGAGGATGGTGTGTCAAATTAAACCCGAACCACGATTGGCCATGTAGGAGTCCAGCTCCCTCAACCACCATGCCACCTGCCAGCTCCATTCAGGTATACACTTTAAAAACACTTGAAATCAGTTATACAATAAAGACAACTCAAATGAAGTAAATTATTTTTATTACTGTATTTGAAAATGCCTACTTGGTTAAAGTCAAATTTCATGAGAAATTTTTTATTCTTTCTTTCTTTCTCCCCTCCTCCCCATAAGGGTGCATGTGCTTGCTGGAGAGAGAGAGAGAGAGAGAGAGAGAGAGAGAGAGAGAAAGTGAGAAATGACACTCTCCTGGGGGAGGGAATGGCCACGCTACAATCCCTTCTCCTTCATTCTCCTCTTTTTCTATAAATTTCCATTATATTGTGTTGGCAGTAAAGTAGGGAGGAAAGAATTGAGTGAAATTCCTTTTTATTAGATGGTGAGGGGAGTGGGTGAGATGATCAGGACAGTTCTCCGTAGCAGTCGTGTTTCAAGCCTCTGAATGGGGAGCGAATGTTTTCTGCCTTAAACTTTTCAATTCATAGCCGCAGAAATAGGCTTATTTTTTAAAACTATGTATGTTCAGTGCAGCAGCTAGTAAAAGTTACTTTTAAGCAGAGGTTTACCGGCATTAAGTTTAAATTAATAATGGTCAAACTTTAATTTCTTTTTTTTTTATAATTTTAGATGTTGGATGTTTACAGTCTAATTCCTTTTGACAATCCAGATGGTGGAGTTTGGAAACAAGGATTTGACATTACATATGAGAGTCACGAGTGGGATGATGAACCCCTTCAAGTCTTTGTGGTGCCTCATTCCCACAATGACCCAGGTAAAATTTGCACATCAAAAAACACTAGAGGTTATCAAACTCCTAGACCCAGAGTCTTTAATGAGAATCTGGTTCAGTTCTCCAATGTTGAGACACTGCTCTCTGTGGGTTAACAGTAGCATATTCATTTTATGTGTCAGTGTATCTTAGCGTGCTTCTTTCCTCAATGTATTGGTCATGCAAGAGTAATACTTGTATAGTATGAAACAGTAATAAACACAAGAAAGGTTTAACTTTGGGGATAAAAAGTTGTACACAGATGAGGTACTGATAGTTCATTTTAGTTACTTCTTATAAACTATTATATGGAAGAATTATTTTGTGTTCAGAAACTACTTTAGAAATAAACCAACAAAATATACCCAGAATGCTCATGAGGTCTGAGCCTTCCTCTGGAGCTGAAGATTTTTTTTTAAATGATAAACAATTTACAGTTTCTGTCTTTCTCTCACTGTCGCTCTCTCTCTCTCTTTTTTTTTTTTTTTTTTTTTTTTTGTTGAGAGGTTTTTGCTATAGGGCGTGTGCACTCGCCAGAAAGACAAGAGACAGAGAGACAGAAAGCGAGAAATCATCCTCCAGGGAGGATGGCCATACTGCAATCCCTTCTCCTCCATTCTCCTCTCAGGATCTTGGGCATGCACACACACATGCCTGGCGTGAGTGCAAGCCACTGACTGGGTCCGGGGCTTGAACCGTGGTCGACTACATGGGAGTCCAGCAACATAACCATTATGCCAACTGCTCATCCTGTCTCTCACTGTCTTTCTTTCAAGAGATAAGTACCCATGGCAGGACTGGCGATGCTGTGATGCCTTGCTCCAGCCTGCCAGCAGGATCACAGGCATGCGCCCCTGTTTCTGGTATGTCAGGTTGGCCTGGGATCTGAACCCGCCACTCTCATGTGGCTGCAGCAGAGTGCAGTGGTGCATAACTGTCACCTGTGCCATTATGGCTGGCTAGATTTTTTTTTTTTTCTAATAATCTTTGCATTCACTTATTGAGTGAAGTAGGTTAAGAGCCACTTGTAATATTTAAATTGTTCTCTTTTTCTCTTTCTGCCAATCATACATTGTTTAACTCTTGTCACTTAGTTGGGCATGTGATGTGATTCCATTGTATAATCTTCCTTGTAGGTCTATAAATACACTTCAAAATGTGTCTTGCAAATCCTCCATGTATGAAACTCCCTGCTACTACTTTCTGACTTTTTATAAAATATCTTTATTATATTTTCCCTTTTTTTTTAAAGAATTATCTTATTTAACTTCATTTATTTATTCATTTTATTTCATATTAATTTGACCAGAGAGGAACAGAGTGAGAGCGAGAGAGAGAGAAAGCGAGAAAGCAAGCCACCAGGTCCAAGACTCAAACCATGGTCAGCCATGTGGGAATCCAGCACCCTTAACCACCACGCCACCTGCCGACCCATAGTTTCCCTTTTCTACCATCCTTATTTTTCACTAATCTCATTTCTTATTATTCTATAACATGGGCACTGTAGTAATACAATGTATGATTTTCTAGGCAAGATAGCAAATGTTTTATATTACAGTAACCTCGCAGGCTACGGCCACAATTCATTACGAAGGTGTTACCAGTTTTCCAAGGTCACCCAGATTGTAAAGATGTGGGAGAGCGCTGGTTGTTGCCCACCACTCATGAAGAACTGGAGACATGGACACAGAGAAGAGATAGCAAAGCAAAGCTTATTGAAGGAGAGAACAACTCTCAGGCAGGGAGGGGTCCTAGAAAATGCTTTGCTGGGACCAGCAGTTAGCGTAATGGCTATGTCACTGGACTCCCATGTAGTCTACTGCAGTTCACATCTGGATCCGGTGGCTTAAAACTCACGCCGGGCACGTGTGCATGTGTGCCCAAGATCCCAAGAGGATCAGGGAGGAGAAGGGATGATGGCGTGGCCATCCCCCCTGGGGGGTGATTTCTTGCTTTCTGTCTCTCTGTCTCTCTCTGTCTGTCTGGCGCACACGCCCTATAGCAAAAAACCTCTCAAAAAAAATTAATAAAAATAAAATAGAAAATGCTTTGCCAAGAAGGAACTGAGGGAGGGGTTTTTTCCTTGGTCAGCAGGGGCTTTGTTCTGGCTTGTTCTCAGGAGGCGTTTGTGCATGCGTGCCCTTTGTGGTGGGCGTCACATGTTAGATGGGTCCAGTGGTTCTCCTAATTTTGGAATGGGCACAAAGGTCATGAGACTCCCTTTATCTAAAAACTTTTGACTGTAAAAAAGCATTGCCAGCTTCCTGGAATGTGGTAAGACGTGGAAAAAGCCTTTGCTGTATTAGCTGTAGGTCAGTCATTGGGTCTGCTGCAAGCCGTTTCCTGTGAGCAGGCAGTTCAGTGAGAGTGGAGCTGCTGCTGAGCTGTGGGGTCTCCATCTTAAAACTTCACCATTTTGTGATTCCATTTTGGGCCTATACCCTAACCATATTCTTAGGGTCTCTGTCTCCTACCTCAGGAAGGGACACAGGACTGCTTCCTTATCAGCTTGCCTGGATTTTCCACTGGAGTGAATTGGAAGGCAGAGAACACGTGTCTCCTGTGAAACTGTCTACACTGCCTGGGCAAAGCTGGCGTGTGGATAGTAATCCATATGCCTGCAATACGGAGGGACTGCTCTGAGCTGTCTCCATGCCCCTCCACCATGCACACACCCCGCAAGCACACACACCAGACTTGCACAGATGCACATATGCACAGATGCATGTACTTCACAGCACTTTCGCTTCGTCTTCTCAGTAGGCCTACTATGCGCTCAGGAAGGCCTAGAACTGTTATTAAATGCCATGTTGCGATTGCTGTTGAGTTAAATAAGTTAGCGAACTACTGCACCTGACTCTCTAGACTAGGCTAGACGTTTGACTTACTCCCTGGCCTGTGCATTTCTTTAACTCCCTCCTTCCTGATGGTGACTTGTTTTCTATGCCAACAAAAGACAATATTAAGCCCTTTGGGGCAGGAATGGCCTTTGCTTTTTGTTTTTTGTTTGCGCCTTTGTTTGTTTACATTACATGAGTGATGGTTGCCGCAGTTAGTCCCTGTTTTGTGAGGGGGCATTCATAATTACTGTCCTGTCTGTAGTAAGTCAATCTGTGCCAACAGCAACCGCAGTTGAATGTTTTTAAGTAAAAGATGTTAACGACCCTTACCCTTAGGCCCTTATTACCTGAGGAAAAACTAGTGGTCAGAAAAAGACATTTTAAAGCTAAAGCAGTTTTTGCTATTAAGCAAAATGCTAGAGAAAAGAACTTGCTAACTTTTCTTAATTTTCACTTTTCCTTAACAAAAGTAGAATTGATAAACTGCATCTGTGAAAAGCGAATCAGTCAGATCATGAGAAACCAGTCTTTGAAAAGGGGGAAAAAAAGTATGCACACACATTCCAAGTCAAACTGTGACTCTGTAATGGGAAATCTTTGTATAATACTCCTAAATGAATGTGCAATTAGGCAGTTTACTTTCTAAATGAGATTTATAGAGATTTGTTTGCATTTTGTGCAACAACAATTTAAGATAAGCTCTAGCTCGATAGTTTGTTTCATCAGTGGGTTTTGGCTATTGGGGATAGCAATATTTGAAATAGATTTTTTTTCAAAGTTCATTTCTTCAGAGAGAGAAAGGAGGAAGGGGGAGGAGAGGAGAGAGCTGGGCACCCTCAGCAGGGCCCTCACGCCGCAGCCCAGCCTCAGCCTGCCCTGGTTTTGGCACACGTTCACACATGCCGTGTGCGCATGGGGAGACGTCGCTGTGTGAGCCCAGAACGGTCCCCCATCGGCCCAGCATCGCTGTGTCATGTCACCGTGCCACCGTGATGTGCCTGAAGTAGAATTTTAAGAGTCCTATAGTTAGTTGCCTAAGTACAAGAATTTGATTGCTATGTTTTTATATATACCTAGCATCCTCAATCCACAAATCCAAAATTTAAAACGCTTCAAAAGCCAAAACTTTTTGAGCCCCTGCAAGTGGACAGTTCCACACCTGACCCAATGTGGTGGGGTGTAGCCGAGATGCAGCAGTACCAAACAGGACTGGGTCAGCTTACCTCAGGCTGTGTGTGTAGAATGTCTGAGACATAAATGAGTTTGTAGTTCCTCTTAGATCCTGTTCCCAAGATGTTTCATTATGTGTGAGGGGTCTTCAAAAAGTTTGTGGAAAATATGTATTATGAAAATAGAATGTATAAATTTTAAAACTATCTCGCACCAAAAATAAACTCATTTTCAATTCTTTTTTTTTTTTTACAAACTTTTGAATTCCCCTTGAGGATATGCAAATATCCCCAAATCGGAAGAAAATCCCAAATTCAAAACACTTCTTGTCCCAAGCATTTCGGATAAGGGATCCTCAACCCATATAGACATTTTTCCTTTTGAACTGAGTTGGTAATATTCTAGGAGAAAAGGTAAATTTCAAAATATGTTTGCATCTTAATAAAAAATGTAACTGTCTTCTTCCAATCTATAAGGACATATAATAGCTGTCATACAATATTTAAATGGTTTTCATGAATTAACACAAAATTGGTTGGAAAGGAATTGTTAGGTGAATGCTGATAACTTTGTATGGTTATGCTTATGAAAAGTTTTGAATCATAGACCATGAAATTAAATGTTAGTTGATTTTGAATTCCCCTTGAGGATATGCAAATATCCCCAAATCGGAAGAAAATCCCAAATTCAAAACACTTCTTGTCCCAAGCATTTCGGATAAGGGATCCTCAACCCATATAGACATTTTTCCTTTTGAACTGAGTTGGTAATATTCTAGGAGAAAAGGTAAATTTCAAAATATGTTTGCATCTTAATAAAAAATGTAACTGTCTTCTTCCAATCTATAAGGACATATAATAGCTGTCATACAATATTTAAATGGTTTTCATGAATTAACACAAAATTGGAAAGGAATTGTTAGGTGAATGCTGATAACTTTGTATGGTTATGCTTATGAAAAGTTTTGAATCATAGACCATGAAATTAAATGTT